ACCATAAGACACAAGATTTACAGGGAGATGATAGGGGTGCCAACTGCATTGCCTCAGCGCCAAGGGCATGGATCACAATGATCTTTTGGATCCCAATCCCATTTAACAAATGGGGGTCACCATTATTGGACCCCAAAATGGATGGTAAACCGTATCAAAACTGTCCCATTTTTTACAGTGGGCCTTTTTCTGGATCATTTTTTTCTGGAGCCAGCTGAATGAATATGGTGTGTCTCTGAAAATCAGGCGGAACCACCCAAAATGTTTCATTTTGACTATTTATATCTTAACATATTTAATCTGTTTGTGAATTATATACATTGAATTACACCATTGATAAAAAAGTAGGGAACATATCAAAAAACAAGAGCCACGAACAAACCCGAATGCAGTTACGTATAACACCTTTGTGAAACAAGTTATTTCAACAGTCTTGTGCATTCTTCCCCTGTTACCCTGCCAGTGTAGGCTGTGGAGTGCGGGATGGGGTGGAGTGCAGAGTGTGGAGTGTAAAACAGTGGAGTGTTCAGTGGGGACTGTATTGTTTAGGGTATGAAATGGGGATTGTGGAGTGTGAAGTGTCGAGTGGTAAAGTGTAAAGCGTAAAGTGTAGTGTGTGGATAAAGTGTGTAAAGTGTGTAAAGTGTCTAACGTGTGTAACGTGTGTAAAGTGTGTAAAGCGTGTAAGGAAGCCCATGGGAATCCTACAGGAAACTGAAGGAATCCAAACAAAAACTACAAAAGGCTAGAAAAATCTAATTCTATTCTGCTTGATAAGCTGGTTCTTTTTGGAGATTTCACCAATGGCACCCCACACAAAATCAGTTCAAATTCTACATAACAAAGAATTCCGAAGGAAAGCTAGAAACTTTAAACACAACACAGGAAAGCTGAAGAATACTAGGAAAAACTAAGGAAAACTGAAAGAAACTAAAGAAAACAAAAGAAAACTAGAAACAACTATAAAAAAACTACCAAAAGCTAGAAACAACTAAAAACCACTAGAGAAAGCTAAACAATGCAAAAAAAGGCGTAAAAACAACTTTTGGGTCGCAGAAGGGGCACTCCCTCCAAGAGTTATTCTTTAAATTTCTTTAATATGTTTGAATGTTATTGTCTAGCTTTTTCTAGCTTTAGATTTTCTTAGCTCCCACCAGGTCCCACCACCCTCATCCAGCGAGTTGCCGTTGCGAACACGTCTCAACCCCCAGACCCCCAACGTCAAACATCGAAAAAACCCATGGAAAAACCACTTGGAGAGTTGGCCAAAATCACCAGGTCGCGGTAACGCATGGTAACGCCGTTTAAACCATGCCTTGATCTTCTCCTTTCCGATGGAGACTCCTTGGAAGTCCAGTCCCCAATGGAGCTTGCCTGGCAAAGATCCCTCCAAAAAGCGCGCAAAAAGCTGGGGATTTTTGACATCTAACTTCATCTAATCACGGACAAATGGTGACTCAACATACTTCACCAACAAAAATGGGGATTTAACCTCTGGTAATTTGTATCAAGTTGCTACATGTCTATCTGGAACATGAGCCCATATAAGCCACTTATGGATATATATATATAATATACACATTTGGGGACGACCTACCGATTTAAAAGGGATTTTCCATAGCAATGTGAAATTAACAGGTGGTAATCCTGAGCCAAATTTGGAGTTTGAGGTGCGATGTTCACCCTGCAGAATTGTTTTACTCTCTATGTCTAGGGGCTTTGGCCATGATGAGCCATGCCCAACTGGTCAATGGTGCATGCTGGATTCTAGATGGCTGGAACCCCCAACACATCGGGGCACTTCAAAAGAAAAAGCACCACGAAGTGAGCACCACGATGTGAAGGCTTTATATAAAGCACGAGCACTTTCCATGTCACATCACGTCATCACGCAACATATGGGGATGGGTCAAAACCCTGGCACCTAAGTGAACATCAAAATAGCTGGTAAATGGATGTTCATCCCACTAAAAATGATACTAATAGGTATTGATCCATACCCATATTTTGAGGCCGATTTCGTGAAAAAATCTCAGCCGGCCCCAATGACTCGCCTACCGAACTCAAGTGCTTGGAGTGCTCTGGAGTGTTGACTCCCAAGACACCATCGGCCTGGCACAGCTTCTCACCTTAAAATGGCGAACGGTTAAAAGAGATTGACATACTGGACGAGAAAATAATAGACTAAATGTATGGTCATAGATTAGTATTACTATAATATAACATAGTATATAATTGTATTTAATGTATCTTAATCTATGTTTTAAAAATACTAGATTAGTATAATACCTTGTACATAATGGTTTAGTGATATTAGCTATTAACAAACATAATGTAACCCCTTTAAGCCCTCTTGAACAAGATTAGTATATAGACGCACTACTAACCATCAGCCGAACCAGGTCTTTTGGCCAATGCACAATTGCGAAGTTGGTGCTTCCCTGCTGCGAAACATCATTTTGGGATATTTAAGAGGTATGAAGGGGTACAGTATCTTTGACCCGCAACTTCGCTACCAATGATTCTATAAACCTTGACGAACAGTTCAACCAAGCATTATTTCTAAGTTCAATCAACATTGTCCATGATTTATCCATAGTTATGACCAATTTCATATGGACAAGACCCCACCAGTTGGACTTCCCCGATCTCCAAGAATTTTGGCCGCTTCCGACCTGATGGTTGAAGCACATTGAGAAACGTTGCACATGGGCTTTATCAAAAAATCCTGGCGGTAGAACAAGGCTTCTCCGAGGCTAGTTCATCCTGTTGGAATATCCACAGCTGGCTGAAAAACATGATTCTATAATGCTAATACATATTAATACATATTAATACATATTAATACATATTAATACATATTAATACATATTAATACATATTAATACATATTAATACATATTAATACATATTAATACATATTAATACTGTACATTTATTGAAGCACATAAGATCATTTTTGAGCATCATATAGGCATATCTAAACCACCTACTAGCTGGGATACATTGTAACATTTCTACACAAACTAGCCTGTCATGGTTGGAACTTGGGATGGAATTGGCCAATGAAAATTTTGGGATGTCCAATGGAAAACCATGAATCTAATTTAAAATTAGCCATGAATCTTAAATTAGGATTGGCGTTTTGGCTAGACATTGGGATTTTATAGGATTTCAAACATTGGGATTGAACATGATGGCAAACCACCTCTCAGTAACTCTGAACAAATTCTCAATGGGGAACTCAGAATGAGTATAGAGTGGGGATATAATGGGGATATCCCTGAAACTCGTAATAGATCTTTGTAATATGATGGGAATATATAATGGGAAATAATGAGAAATAGGATGTAATGAGATATTTGTAATATGATGGGAATATAATGGATCCACTGAGATCTCTGTTATAGTCTATAGTTCTCCCCAGTACATCTCCATTGCTTATGTTACTTTGATTTGCGTTACACATCTTCCCGTTCACCAAGACTCGAAGCCTCAAACACACAGAAACTCGATGGACACAGAAACTCTGCGGGAAGCATTGGTCAAAAACCAGCTGCTTCGCTGCTTGGATCTACACTGTCCATCTTAAATTCTCCGGTTCTTCACAATGGCTTAGCCCAATGACAACCAAATCTCCCGTTCGAGGTATCCGCATACATCCGATAAATCTTCAATCAGTCAATTAAATCAATGTCAATCAGCAAAAAAGGTTAATCCCCAAAATCATGGCGACTACCAAATCCAATAATTACATGTTAATCATCCATTTTGACATGGTTAATCATCAAATCACCCAATGTTAATCATCAATCATCCATTTTTTGACATTCCCTGAAGGGTGATCTTTTTTCCCCTAGTGACGACATTTGCGGCCTGGAACCGTGAAGGCAGAGGTCTCGTTCACGTTCTTGGACTTGTCACCGTCCTGTGCGACTGAGTCTTCCGGGAAAAATAAACTATGCGCTAGTTAGCTACTTAGAAGAAAAACAACAACTACTGGGATACATCTGAGTGACTTAGCAATGTCAACTCAGGATTCTTACAACCCCCTGGGCTGCTGATCATTAGGAAACTCTGCAAGCTGAGATCACTAAATCAGTGGGGAAGGCCCCCGAAGTTCTAATGGACCAGGGTCAAAAGCAATCCGGGGCTGACATTTTCAGATGATTTGAGCACTCAGAAATAGGGCTGCAACCAGGAAACATTGGAATCTGCGGTAACCCATGTGAGAAAGGACAACATAAATAGCAATATTGGGTATGGTTCCAAGGATTAGAACTGGTTGTTTATGCAACAGTTGGCAAAAAAATGCCATCCATGTATCTGCGATTAGGGATTTTCAGAACCACTATGTTCCAAACCCTCACAGGGGGACCATCTCCATTCGCTAGCATAGGTCATATTGTCCATAGCGTGCTTGGTTCATGGTCGTGGAATATCGTGGAATCTGGTTAAAGGCTTAAACGAAGAAACATGTGGTTTGAACAAAACTAGTGGCTTGAATGGATCCTGAGGCAACAAGAAAGCCTACCCGGAAAGCATTGGTGATTCAAAATCCATCCTTCGGGGCGAAAAGGTAGGTTTTGTTGACAAAAGTGCTTGGTTGATGTAATGTGGGTAAAACAATGTCATCTGCACCATCCCCCAGTCCCCCAGTCATCACCATAAATATATAGGTGAGTAACCCGTTGATCAGCAAGCCATAGTGTTTGAATATGTTTGAATGATATTTGGGGGGAATGACAATCCAGTTACCACCTAGGAAGAGTATTTTGCAAAATTGGGATTGGCAATTTTCAGGCCCACAAAAAAAAGTGCTTTTGTTTAGACAATAATCTTCTCCATTAGAATGCATCTTTTTATGGTCTACTGGTATACATTTCTGGAAAATTAAGCCAATTGAGTGTACGAAGTTTTTCTGGCAGAAAAATGGTCCAAGCTGTCATTTTGACATTCAAAAACCAGTCCCATGGTTCAAAGCGAGCAAGGGATCGGCCGGATGCTTCGGGGTTGGTCAAAATTCGTTGTATTTTGATTAATGTGGGTAAAACAATGCCATAAACCACCCATGACTGGGAATGGTAAGTTTATACCACCAAAGCTGTTTCTGCATATAAAATACATTATGAGATCCCCCTCCAAAAAGAACATTAATGGCATATTCCCGGTTTGATCCAGAACCATATGGGGGTTCCCCAACATGGATCCTCAGCCGTCACCATGATACCATGGTTGTTGAAAATTCCTAAACTGGTCATGACTTGGATGATGAGGTAAGGTACCATTTAGGAAACCCTCCATACAATGTGCGGAATATATGGGATACAACCAACACTTATCGGCAATATCAGGGGGTTGCGAAGCCTTGACCGCAGGGTCCCCAGCCGCCTTGAAACTCGGTCGTCCGAGGCCTAAAATGCCCTCGAAGGGACCTGGGTCGACGAGAGTTGCGATGGAAAACCAACCCAACCTTCATCAGGATGTGAGCCATGTACACCTAGCAATGATGGCTGTTTCAACCTTTTTGATCTGCTCATTTTTCCACAAGGGGATGGCAGACCATCCTGTTGCAAATGATGGGGCCCATGCGACTATCCACCATCAACAGCCATAAATCTCATCGCCTCGTTGTAAATCTACCACGATGTTTTGGAATACTATACCCTCTGGTAAACTAACATAACTATAGATAATCACCATTTTTCATGGGAAAATCCACTATTAATGGCCATTTTCAATAGCTATTTTGACATAACCAGAGGGTAGATGTGTCCGATCCACCATCGAAGTCTTCGTTTTCTCCACCAGGCCAGGGCCAAAACCTTCGAGATTCAATGCATGATCCACCTCAGAACCGCTCAGATCGGCACAGATCTGGTTTTAAACATCGACACACATTTTTTGAACCCATCATATTTCCATGGCTATTTGACACCACCACTTTAACGTTGAAAACCATATAAGACAAGATGACTATAGTTGTTTTTTTTTGGTGTGTGAAATCGCATCACTTCGGATGGGTAAACATAGAGGAATCCCAAAATGGGATGGTCGCCGTTAAAAAAGTATCTGGCTATAACGGTTTGCGAAGGGGAAATCACCATTAAACATCATTAAACTAAACATGGGTCATTTTTTTAATATCATCATCTTTATCATCTATACGTGGGCCATGGCTTGGAAGACGTGACCACCGAAAGCAACAAAGTGGGAATACAACAAGAAAACAAAGATGGTTTATATGTATCACGTGATCCATTTGAATGGCTCACATTTCCGAAAAGGCCAAAAACTATGGACTCAGTTTCCCAAGGTTTTCCATATATATATATACATATATATATATATCTTTGTGACATGGATGCACGCGGATTTATGATTTCACGAAGATCACAAACACATACTGCCGACCGCAAAAAAGGGGTATTTGTTTATATTTGTGTCAAATTTACAGGGATCTGAGAGCAGCCGCTGTCTTTTGTCCACTTTCGTCCTACGTCTTGGCAAGTCATATGCTTGCAAATGGGAAGAACGGACATCGGTTTCACCGTGTCTCTGCATCTTTGGGCACAGAAGGCCGGCGGACAACGGCAGACAATGGGCACAGCAGGGAAGCAAGGGGACGTCGCCACATGTCAGGCGAGCCTGATTCCAAACACATACCCTCTGGTAATTTAACATAGCTATTGAAAATGGCCATTTATAGTGGATTTACCCATTAAACATGGTAATTTCCCATAGTTATGTTAGTTTACCAGAGGGTAAAACCCCAGAACTTTGGTGGTGGGGGTAAGCACACAGCCAACTCTGGTCGAGGGTCAAAGCTTTGGGGAAGCCATTGGAAGCCCGGCGTATCCCAAATTCCCTAATTGGTTACACAAATTGAAATATATAATTATATAATAAAATTATAATATGCTGTGTATATACATATATATATATATATACATATATATATAATATATATATATATGTATATACACACCCGACATTTTCTTGGTTTCCCCAATTGCTTTGAACCAGACATTGAACACTCGTTGCCCACTTCTTCATGCCATCAAGAGTTCTTTTGCAGAACTGGGCAACGCGTCAATACTTCGCATCCTTGGGTTCTTAAAAGGCGATCGGCGATGAACATGGCACCATTTTTTCAGGATGCACGGAGAATATGATAGAACATGATAAAAGAATATAAAAGAAGGGTGATCAAAATGGTAATTCTTATATATATTCTTATAATCATTTAAGTTGTCATTTTTCAACACTAACAGCAAACTTATCATTGAATTAGCACTATCAATCAGGGTCATTGTTGTCATCAATATTGTAATATTGTCAGTGTTCCAATATCAATATCACGATTTCGCTATGATCGTAATCACCATTACCAGTGCGATCGTTATCATTCTTATCATTCGTAACACAAGTCGTATCACTATCATCATAATCATCGGTATCATTGGTTTTGTCAGCGATACAGTTCAGTATCATGATTCCGTCGTGATGATCATTATCACCATTATTATCACTATCACCATTTTCATCATTCTCGTATTCGAAACATATGATCCTTATCATGACTAAACTCACTATCACAATTGTTCTTTTCATTTTCATTATGATGCTCTCTGCTATCCTAATGATGCTACCAATCATCAATCTAGCTGATGAACTTTTTTCAAGACCAACTTGAAAAGGCCAACATTTTTGGGAAGACATTTATCCCGTCGACCAGTGTCGTCGCAACATAACTCACCCAAGTAGAAGTTCATCCAGATGATTGGATTGTCATACATTCTATTCCCCATTGATTCACAGTTAAATCTCCATTTACTAGTAGTACTGTAATTTATCAAAAACTACAGTTGGTTATATATATATATATACACCATTATTTTCTCTCTGTGAGTTTTAGATTGAACAAACATGTCTTAAATCCCCATCCATCCAGGCATACTATTTACCAAACTACACTTTTGGAAACAACTTTGAATGCTAAACCATAGTTTTTGTCGATGTCCATGAGCCATCATATTCACCCACACCGATGTCAACCCATTTCTCAGTAGTTAACAGTATCAGGAAGTAAGTAACAATATTACGTAGACATTGGTTTTAACCTCCTCTGTATAGAAACGTATAAACATGAGATCCCATCTTTTTGGGGTTTACTGTAATCGTTATCATTCATCCATTGCAATAGTTTAATCCGTATGTACTAGCAATCATTCACACATATATATATGTATATGAATATGTATAAAATTATAAATATATTCATATATATATATATATAAATACAGGTAGGAAATATATTTTGTTAAACAACGCAAAACCTATTGACTGACACAAAACTCGCCCACCAATCCCAATTGAGCAGCGTTCAAAACCCTTTGTCGTCTCTTTATGTCCCTACTGGTTGGTTAAGAACAGATTTCCCAGTTGAGGGATTATGTTGAATATAAAGGGTAGAAAATAATCTAGACCCATCAACCAATCAGCATTTATCAGTTGTATCCACTTATATCCCCATGTTTATAGTGAAACTCCTTGTTAAATTAGCCATCAGCCACCAAAGGCGACTAGAAGCCACCAATCCTAATCTTTTATTTGCTCAAGGGATCCCCCAAAAAAGTCAAAAAGTCAAAAAAAATCCAAAAAGTCAAACAACATCTTCCCCATAGATTCCCCTTTTTTTGGGTGGACCTTTAGACCATTTTCTCCACCGCCCTCAACCAGGCATCATCTCCGCCGTCATCGTCCCTTCACGCACCACGCCCTTGGAGAGATCGATGATTCGCCAGGAGGCCGTGTGACCAAACATCCCAAAGGCGCCCAGACGAATGAGGTACGCTTCACCTGGGTCGCCGGGTTCCCGGGCTCTTCATGGGTTCCACATGGGTTCCCAATTTATGGTTGATTTCATGGAACATCCATGGAAAATCCATGATTTAGTGAGTACCAAAAATGGATTAGAAACCACAAAATTAATCAAACAAATACAGCTATGGGGAGATGTTTGGCGATAAACCAAAAATATTGGGGTTCAAGGCACGGAAATATCCCACCGGCATGGGCTGAGGCTATCCAAATACGGATGTTGATTAAAAAAGTTACAACGGGCCTTGCCTGACCAATATCCTATGGTGCCCTCAATCACCCTTAATCATTGTACGAGTATCATATATTCCCAACAAACCATCACAGTCAAATGTGTCATGCAACATTTGTGATGGACAGATAAGACGCACTTTGGCAAATTATGAAAACCATTGAACACCAATAATTTCTATCAATCAACTTTTTGCTGCAAGCAGAAAGAATCAATTGAAATCGAGGAATCTTCTCTGCTAGACTAGAAGTATTGGGTTAGTTGTTCACCGCGATGACCATGACCAAACCATGACGACCACAGCCATAACCGCAACCATGACCATCATCATCATCATCATCGCCATCACCATCACCATCACCTCCATGTCATTCTTACTAATCCTCTCTCCCTATTACTAAAACACTCCCCCCCAAATGGTAAACACAGCGTTTTTTTTAAATATTATTATTTATTAGGGGGTATTTTGCATTAGGGTGCCCTAATATTCCAATGAAAAACCCTAATAAAAATAAAAATAATTCGATTTCAAATTTGATTAAATCCCGTATTTAAACTCTATATAGAATATTGCCAAAAACTGGATTTTGAAGCTTTCCCCTAATATTCCAATGAACACCTTAATTTAATAATAAAAACAAAAAATACAACTTGTGAGATGGGACCCTAATAAAATAATAAAAAACATCCAGGTGGCAATCTATTTTTATTACTAGGGGGTTGAACCATGTTGAAACCATTGTTTCACCATCCTGTTCTCCTATTGATTCTCAATTACCACAATGAAGAATCCAATTGTGCCCAACCGAAAAGAACCGGAAGTGCCACACCAATCCTATTTGTTTATTTTGGAGAGTTTTAGTAATAGGAAGAAGGGATTATTCTTTGCTATTCATTCACATTGGTTTCAATTTAATTAATTATAAAATTATATTACTGCTACATTTTGATCACAAACTCTGGACATAATATGTGACTGAATAAAGCCATCCCTTACAAACACACCAAACACGGAGCACTCTAACCTCAGCCGCAACTCCATGACTTTTCATCCCGGTCCGTGCTTCGCGCAAACAGTTGCAAGTGTTACAAATGGGTCCGCAGTGCAAACTGCGTCCAGCAACTGACCATCAGGTAAGACTACACGCAGTTCTCCGAGGTCGGCTTTTAATTGAAGTGCCAGCTTCCTAGAAATATCCACTGCAAGGTCAGATTTACTGGTCTTCAACCGCACCACTTCAAGGCCATCCAAAGCCAAGCAAATTAGAATCATGACGTCACCTTCCTGAAGAAAATCTGCCTGCAAAATGCGGCCTCCCCTCGGCCTGGCCCAGGGCTGTCTCAAATCGGAAATATAGCGAAGGCTGTTTCTCGGAGAGCGAAACCTATCCCACCAGGACTTCAAGGGCGGAATGTTGCATGCCCCGTTTTCATTTTTTTCCACATGCAGTAGCACGGCCATCACTTCGGAGAAGCACAGTATAAGCAGAACCTGCGGCAACCTGGATGTAGGACACACCTTCATCCAAAGGTGGAATATCACATTGTCCCCAGCTATTGTCTCCGCAAGCAACAGCACGACCATCACTGCGTAGAAGCACTGTATGCTTAATGCCTGCAGAAACTTGTGTGTAGGACACGCCATCCTCCAAATCTGGAATATCACATTCGCCGAAGAGATTCCGCCCGCCAGCAACAGCACGACCATCACTTTGGAGCAGCGCACTATGCTGACTACCTGCAGAAACCTGGGTGCAGGAGACACCCTCATCCAAACGTGGAATGCTAGGCCTGTATGGCATGAACCCATCAGCAAACTCAGCAAGCATTGCCCCGCAAGTAACTGCACAACCATCACTTCGGAGAAGCACAGTATAAGCAGAACCTGCAGCAACCTGGATGTAGGACACACCTTCATCCAAAGGTGGAATGTCACAACATCCCCAGCGATTCCGTCCGCAAGTAACCGCAAGACCGTCACTTCGGAGAAGCACTGTATGTCCAACGCCAGCAGAAACCTGAGTGTAGGACACACCCTCATCCAAAGATGGAATATTACATTGTCCACGGCTATTGTTTCCACAAGCAACAGCACGACCATCACTCCGCAGAAGCACAGTATGCTTGTGGCCTGCAGAAACCTGGGTGTAGGAGACACCCTTATCCAGAGGTGGAATTTGGCATGGGGAGTGCCGTCCGCAGCACCTCCAGAGCTTCCAGAAACGACGAGTGCCTCCGCAAGCAACTGCGCAGCCATCACTGCGGAGAAGCACCGTATGAAACTGGCCCGCAGAAACCATCAGAGGCCCGCTCGAAGCTCAGGGGCCCTCACTGGCCACCGAAGAAACCCGCAGTTGATCCAAGGCTTAGTCCGGGAAAATGAGCATTCAACCATGTCTATTCACCACACTTGGGCAACATCATACACCAGAAGCCCACTTTCAAGACTATGAAGCAAGCAGCAGCTTTGATGCTGATGACGATCACAATGACGATGAGGATGATGATGATGATGATGAGGATGAGGGTGAGGATGAGGATGATGATGATGATGAGGATGATGATGATGATGATGAGGATGAGGATGAGGATGAGGAGGAGGACGACGACGACGACGACGACTGCGGTGGCGGTGAGGATGACGATTCTGAAACTGCGAAAGCTTGCGCTGGACATTGGCTTATCACTGCACTTAGTCAGTTAGTTACTTACTTAGGTAGGTAGACCACCGGCCATACACGACCGTAGATTTTTTGGCGTTTCTAGGCTACGCTATTGCAGGTGCTCCTTGCACCACACAGACTGCAAAAAAACAACGTGAACACCAAGATTCACAAGATGATAGGTGAAAAGACCGGCCATCTTAGAAATATATATAAAATACTGCATTCAGCTTTGCAGAAGCCTAAAAAAGACGACTTCAACGGAACGTAATTCTGAACCTAATTTCTGCAGCCCTACGTGCAAAGAGACGACTTTCACCTTTGCCTCTAGGTGTTTTTTCTCTGCATCTGTATCTTCCGGTCATCTGTACAAATTCGGTTCAGTTTTGAAAGTATACGTAGCAGCTTGTAAGTTGCTGAAACCTTGAACTTTTCCCAGAATGCAGGGAAAAAATAACATAGACCCGGGCAAGCCGGCGGCGGAAGTTTCCCAAACATAAATGACCTATAGTTCAAAGACAACCTGTCCCGACCGTGTCCTTCCCTCGACACTCACACACACTCACACTGCACACTGCACTCTTCGCACTCCAAACTTCAAACTTCACACTCCCAAACTTCACACTCCACACTTTCAACTTCACAAACTCACACCACACTTCACACTTCACACTGCACTCTTCGCACTCCAAACTTCAAACTTCACACTCCACACTTCACACTTCACACTCCACACTTCACACTTCACAGTCCGCACTTCACACTTCTCACTTCTCACTGCTTCCTTCACACTCCAAACCTCACACTGCACTCTTTACGCCCCACACCTCACACTGCTCTAAACCTACGTGGAACAAAAAAAACACTAATGCGACAAAATGGAGAAAATCTGCTGACAAATCACTGTGGCAGCCTTCATGCAGCCACTCCAATACGATTTACGAAGTCCAGCTGCAAAAGACAATAGTATTACCAATGCAGCCACAGCACGAAGCAACCTTGACACAGCCATTACAATGCGATCTGCAGAGACAGAGTTGCAAAACACAAAAGAACTACGCGCAACGGCGTCGGAAATTGTAGCTCCAAACCGGATCTCGACGCCAAACGAAAAAAAGACGATTTTGAAGCACTTTTTAAAAGGATTTTTAGAAGGAAAATCATTAGCGCCAAAATGGAGAAAATCTGCTGACAAATCACTGTGGCAGCCTTCATGCAGCCACTCCAATACGATTTACGAGATCCAGCTGCAAAAGACAATAGTATTACGAATGCAGCCACAGCACGAAGCAACCTTGACGCAGCCATTACAATGCGATCTGCAGAGACGGAGTTGCAAAACACAATAGAACTACGCGCAACGGCGTCGGAAATTGTAGCTCCAAAACCGGATCTCGACGCCAGAGCGAAAAAAAAGACGATTTTGAAGCACTTTTTAAAAGGATTTTTAGAAGGAAAATCACTAGCGCCAAAATGGAGAAAATCTGCTGACAAATCACTGTCGCAGCCTTCATGCAGCCACTCCAATACGATTTACGAAGTCCAGCTCCAAAAGACAATAGTATTACCAATGCAGCCACAGCACGAAGCAACCTTGACACAGCCATTTACACTGCGGGAACGATCCTACAGTTGCAAAGCACAATGGAATTCCATCGGCAACTCATCCACCAGCAACACTTGCAATCCCATTTACATTGCGGGAACGATCCTAGAGTTGCAAATCACAATGGAATTCATCGGCAACTCATCCACCAGCACCACTTGCAATCCCATTTACAATGCGGGAACGATCCTACAGTTGCAAATCACAATGGAATTCTGTCGACCGCACATGCACGAAAAACAGGTGAAACCCCATTTACAATGCGGAACCGATCCGAACATGATCCGCCCATGATCCGACCACACACGAGACCGTCTCGCAACCATCGCACCGCAGAGGTAGATCATCGAGGTTCGGGGACGGATTTTGTATGGAAAAACATAGGGTTTCGTGCATCTGCTATCTCTCAAAAACGCATTTCGTGCGAGACTTCCTTCAAAACTCCATCGGCAACTCCTCCACCAGCACCACTTGCAATGCCATTTGCATTGCGGGAACGATCCTGCAGTTGCAAATCACAATGGAATTCCATCGGCAACTCATCCACCAGCACCACTTGCAATCCCATTTACATTGCGGGAACGATCCTACAGTTGCAAATCACAATGGAATTCTGTCGACCACACATGCACGAAAAACAGTTGAAACCCCATTTACAATGCGGAACCGATCCGAGCATGATCCGCCCATGATCCGCCCATGATCCGCCCATGATCCGACCATGATCCGACCACACACGAGACCGTCTCGCACCCGTCGCACCGCAGAGGTAGATCATCGAGGTTCGTGGACACACTTTGTATGGAAAAACATAGGGTTTCGTGCATCTGCTATCTCTCAAAAACGCATTTCGTGCGAGACTTCCTTCAAAACTCCATCGGCAACTCCTCCACCAGCACCACTTGCAATGCCATTTGCATTGCGGGAACGATCCTACAGTTGCAAATCACAATGGAATTCCATCGGCAACTCACCCACCAGCATCACTTGCAATCCCATTTACATTGCGGGAACGATCCTACAGTTGCAAATCACAATGGAATTCTGTCGGCCGCGCATGCACGAAAAACAGGTGAAACCCCATTTACAATTGCGGAACCGATCCGAGCATGATCCGACCACACACGAGACCGTCTCGCAACCGTCGCACCGCAGAGGTAGATCATCGAGGTTCGGGGACGGACTTTGTATGGAAAAACATAGGGTTTCGTACATCTGCTATCTCTCAAGAACGCATTTCGTGCGAGACTTCCTTCAAAACTCCATCGGCAACTCCTCCACCAGCACCACTTGCAATGCCATTCTAACTCTTTCTTTGACTAATTCTTTCTGACATTCTAAAAGTTACAATTAACTCTGTCCCTAACTAACTCTTTCCCTCACTAGCTCTTCCTTTGACTAACTCTTTCCTGACAGTCTAACTCTTTCTGTGACTAAATCTTTCCCTGATGAACTCTTTCCCTAACTAACTCTTTCCCTCACTAACTCTTTCTTTGACTAACTCTTTCCCTGATGAACTCTTTCCCTAACTAACTCTTTCCCTGACTAACTCTTTCTTTGACTAACTCTTTCCCTGATGAACTCTTTCCCTAACTAACTCTTTCCCTGACTAACTCTTTCTTTGACTAACTCTTTCCCTGATGAACTCTTTCCCTAACTAACTCTTTCCCTCACTAACTCTTTCTTTGACTAACTCTTTCCCTGATGAACTCTTTCCCTAACTAACCTTTCCCTGACTAACTCTTTCTTTGACTAACTCTTTCCCTGATGAACTCTTTCCCTAACTAACCTTTCCCTGACTAACTCTTTCTTTGACTAACTCTTTCCCTGACATTCTAAAAGTCCGTAACACGGAAGTTTCTCCCCCTAAACTTCCTTTGATAATATACCTCCTCGGGTTTCATAGGATGTATCATTTGGAAAATAAACATGACAAATAACACATGTATCTAAAAGTCCACTGTTAAAGAACTATCTATTCACTACTGCCTTAACTTAAGAAACTGTATCTGCATCATCCTTCTCACTTGGTGTATGTTGTTTTATCCAAACTGTATATTGTGTCTATCGCTAATGTTATATCTCCATTCTCTCTCCTATCAACTGTAAGGGTTGTGACGCTATACCACAATCAACATATCTGAACGGAAAGTTGATATCCCCAATCTAATCAACAACGGACTATAGAAATGATAGTTGTTGTACATTTCCAATCTAAATATCCACGATCTAATGATGAAATCTCCATGATCTTTCCAATCAACAGTTGGGTTGGCTGTCCTTATCTTTTTCCAAGTGACCCTCCTCGAATTGACATTCCTGGTCTGGAAGTCGCAAGGCATGGTCCCCGGCCCCGAATTTTGCACGACAGCTAAGTTGGTAGAAATAGCTAGGTGAATTCCCTGATTTATTGTAGATGATATAATAATATTAATATTATATATATATATATTATAGTATATATATATAATCATGATTGTAAAGTTATATATATATATATACACACTATCTATAAATAGTATGATTCATTATTTTTTGAAAAAACAGGGGGTTCTCTGAAAAAAACGGGCACCCCATGGGCACCAAAAAAAACGATCATCTTCCTGGATCTCAATATGGATGATAATTAAGATCAGTTTAGGATATTTATGAAAACAAAACAGCTCCAACTGATCATCTCAATCTATAAATTGGGAAATCTCTGTGTTCATGATTTTCACTGATTTTCCACAAAAAGTCATGCCAGAGAGTAATCGAAGTTTTTCCATGAATTTCCTCTGTGGATGTCTGATGATGTCTGACAATTTGAACATGTCATAACATGACCCACTGGCAGGTGATAGAAGTGGTGTCATCAAACCAGCAATTGCCTGTGTATATGTGGATGTTCCAACAAAACAAAAATCCCCAGAGTGTTTTTTTGGCAAATCCCCCTTCATGTCCCATGAATTCCCAGGATTCGAAGCCCAGTTTTTCCACGATTTTCCCTGGCAAATCATATGACATCCCCATTTCTTGACGTTGAGCCCCATTTTTTCCCATAAAAATCCAGGCTGATGCTCCTCTTGAATCGCCGGCAAGACCTGCAGCCAAACTCTCACGAAGGGATTTTTCGCATTGCTCATGGCAAAATCCCTATACCAACATGTATATGTATAGCATTGTATAGCTATATCCATACGTATATATGTATATATATATATATGTATGATATGTATTATCTTTCTATGTGTATGTATATTCACATATGAGTAGCGGACAAACATATTTGTTAAATTTAACGCCATGCACAATTGTCGTCCCCTATCGGCTGTGAAGATTTCGGTACTCCCGGAGGTATCATAAATGGGGTATCAGTATAGGGTCGTCCCCTATCGGTTGTGAAGGTTTTGTGCAACCTCAGAAAGGCCAAGGCGAAGCAAGACCAAATTAGTATAACCATATTCTTGTTGGTTATTCATATGTCTCTGGTAAACTGTTACATATGGAAAATCACCACCATGCTATTCATGGGTAAATCCACGAACTATCAATGAGCCATTTTCAATACCCTTTACAGTACAGTAACCTAGCTAGGAAACCAAGATCCCATCTACCCTCTAGTAATTTACAGTAACATAGCTATTGAAAATATGGCCGAAAAAGTTGATTTACCGTTCTTAAAGATGGTGGTTTTCCATAGCTTTTTGTACGTTTACCAGAGGGTAACCACTATGAACCAATATTAACCACATTTATGATCATCCTTGGACACTGGAAAAATCCTGAAAATCATATTAACCAATACTAACCACTATTAACCACTATGAAAATTCTCCCAACCAGAGGCTACCCAGCTCAGCCGTTTGGGTGGCCTTCTCAGCGTAGAGTTCGTCCCGGAACTCGCCGCAGAGCCAGCCTGCGTTTTTTGATCGGAATCTCCCCAGGATTTTTCAAATGTGTCCAAGGATGATCCTCTGGTAAATTTTGGTAAATAGTGGTTAATATAAATATTGGTTAATATTGGTTAATAGTGGTGAATCCAAATGTGGTTAATATTGGTTAATAGTGGTTACCCTCTGGTAAACGTACAAAAAACTATGGAACATCACCATCTTTAAGAACGGTAAATCAACTATTTCCATGGGCCATATTTTCAATAGCTATGTAACAAATTACCAGAGGGTAATAGTGGAAACCCAATCCATTGATCCAATGATCAATCCATGAATGACCAATGATCTTGGGGATATTTAGATTGGTCTCTAATCATTGAATCATCTCCCCTGGAGTTCTTCATATTTGTAGAATGATCGATCAATGATCGATCAATCTAATCATGGGAACATCATGGGACAAGATGATCATATGGACCTTAAAATCAACGGAAGATTGACATCAGAATCATCATATTTTTTGAACATGTCACAAAACCTGGGCATTTGACGATGATCATATTCTTATCGCTTAAATCAGGATTTTTCATGGGAAAACGCTGGATTCCCCGGCGCCGAAACCGCGGAGTTCCGCGGAACCTGAGAGCTTCAGCATGGCCCAGTCGTCAATACCTTTGAAACAGGGATTGGTATGATACCACTTGATGTCATGGGCTACAAGAGTTATATATATACATATACTTGTATATATCAAATTCAAGTATTGTGCATATATATATATATATAGTTATATATATATATAGTATCCATATGCTTGGCTCTGAACATCACATGGGCTGTAGATATACTGGATGTACCTATCTGGCTGGAGAACTGATGGACAGTGAATGGAGAATCACCAGGGATACCACCTGATAAGCCATGATACCTGGTAATGACTGTAACACTTTGCTATTGAAAATGGTCATAGAAATAGTGGATTTTCCCATCAAAAATGGTGACTTTCCATAGTTTTTTGTATGTTTACCAGAGGGTAAAACATCTGATTAAACATGATGGATAAAACTGATGGAGATCATTTCCATTCTTTGCTTCCTACCATGATGAACACATGTTAAAACCAAGAAGCGCTGTCTCCCATTCTCATTGGGTCAAACGTCACAGCTTCATATTTTTCCGTGATTCCACCCCCTGGTATCCTCCAATTTCACCAAAAAAAAGAGCTGGTATAACCATTGGATGCTCATTCCCGTGCAATTCCAATGGTTCGATATGTATTGATGAGTAATCATATGAAAATTCCACGATCCTCATTTCTCATAGACAACAATCTGAATGAGAATTGTAATTCATTTCATCCATAAACCCCATTGATATGGCTTGTACCCCAGTTGATTGTTGGTTCAAGCACAGCTTTTGATGGAGAAATCTCCAACTGCTGTGCTTTGTGGTACACCCAACGTTTCGGGATGGTTTATATTGGTTTATGCTCCCCAACATTGGGTAAAATTGGGGATGGTTTACATTTCTGGGTACCCTCTGGTAAACTAACATAGCTATTGAAAATGGCCATTTATAGTGGGTTTTCCCATGAAAAATGGTGATTTTCCATTGCTATGTTAGTTCACCAGAGGGTAAATTATACACTGTAATAATTCACTCATCTGAATTTTCCGGCCATTTGGGAATGATTCATGATGATTCCCTATACCAACCCATCATGGAAAATGCTCCGGTCGCAGGGTTCGGTCGCTATAAACATATTTCAAGCTGCTTCTGGTACCGCTCACCTGCAACATATCCTGCCGCGCTGCAAGTGGAGCTCAAAAGGAAGGCATGGCTATGGAAAACCAAAGGGACCCCTTCTGTTCACACCAAAATCGCTACCCTCTGGTGATTTAACGTAGCTATGGAAAATCACCATTTTCAATGGGAAAATCAACATAAATGGATTTTCAATAGCTATGTTAAATTACCAGAGGGTAGTACATATATGGATGTTCATCCCTCTAAAAATGCTCATAGGAATTGATCCATACCCATATGGTGAAATGGCTTTGATGGAACATCTAGAAGTAGCCCCTTCCGTAAATTTGTTGGTTGATCAGCATTTTCACTCTTCAATGGCCAGGAAACAACGCCCAATTTTTCGACAGGTTGAAAAGGGTGAGTCAAACATCCATAGCGAAGTGTAAGAAAATTGAAGAAATGATCAGGTAATACCAGGTAGCTCATGATTAATCACATCATGATTTACATTCTCGAATTCCTTGGGGTTATGACGTTTTTTTCAAGTTCTGCCCCCTACAGCTCCGCATGTCTCTATCACCCCAGGCGGATGGTGTACCCCCAGATCATGTTATGGATGACCATGACTTAGTATTGAAACCAATGACATATAGTGACTTGGGGTAGCTCCATTTTGGGACACCTCCGGCGTTTCCATGAAATTCCATGAATCCATGGGTGCCTCCAACAAGCGGACAATGCACTTCATGTTGAAGGTGGCCAACCAAAGATAAGCGAAGCTCAAATAACCTCAGAGAGACACATTGCACGATTTTTTTTCAGATTGATGAGATTTGAATCATGGTTGTGAGATATCCATAGATATCCTTGATATATCTTGATATCCTTGAGAACTTGTAGTTTTTCACAAAGCACAGCGCCCAGTTTTTCACACCCGGTCATTTCGCTGTTTTCGGTGCACCAGTTGGGACCATCATCTCACATAAAAACCAGCTGAGTTTTCTATTGACCACATTCCGATTTTGGCCGGTCTTTTTTTTGGTATATCCATGTATATCCACCAAACTTATATACATATTTCATCATATATCTTGTATCTGCTATGCAAATCCATGTCAATCCGTTACATTCCCTCAAAATACACCCCAAAAAATATTTTGCCAACCGGTGAAATCTATGTGTTAAAAAAACCAAAAGGGTGACACGTGTCTCCCAGATTTCCAGTGGAAGCTTCGCCCAGTGGCCTAAGCACACCGAAAGATAAGGCGATTCATCCAAGCTCAGCGGGCTACCAAGGCCCCTCCTCGGAGAAAACCCACCGTGAGTTGATAGAAACGAGGTGATCAACTGACCTTTTTCTGACCATTTTTTTCCCAAGCTTGGAAATACGTGTCACTGCCGCATTTCAAGTCAGCTGGGCTTGTAGCCCTCAATTTATTGGCGTTAGTGGAGGAACATTCTAGATGAGCAGCAACTGCTGCAGCCAGAATTGATTTCTTTGTTTTTTTTAAACCATTTTAGCATGAAGGACAGGAGTATGAGTCGAAATCTAAAACCCATGTCCGCGTCGTTCCAGCCGTTGAATTTGTGGGGGATAATGCATTGAACAAAAAGCAAGATGCTGCAATGCCAAGCTGTGGCCAAGGGTCTTCTGCCCTACCATGTCCAACTTCTCCTTGACCCTGGTGCTGGATGCCCGAACAGTTCTCTCTGAAACTCGGCAAGCGCAAAGCTCACCACTCACACTGCAAATCAGCCCCCAAGAATGGGACAACATGACCAAAAATCAGCCCATGCTCCGGATCACTGCACATCGCTTCATCTGTCCCAAACCTAATTAACCCTCTAGGGCAAACAAAACCTATCAACATCTTCAACTTTCTCGTTTTCGTAGAAAAACAAAAGGCTTCAATAGAACCGACCTCCAACAGTTCTCACCCCTGGCCCCATCAAAGCCATCCCCCCCATTCCGGGCTTCGCCTTTGGGTCTTCTTCACATAGAAGAATGACTGCACCCAATTGCCCGCCCAGTATCGATGGCTTAAATAGTAGCCCACCTGAGACGTGGGGGTAGCCCCGTGTAGCCCCCAAAAACACCAAGCTCTTGGCCCTTTCTCAGAGGGAAACCGCGACTAAGTTGGGAGGTCTCCACATGGGGGCGGCGAGGACCTCAATTTTGTGGAGCCTGCAGCCAATCAAAATGCAATCGCAACATGGAGGCATACCCAAACTGGCCATGTTAACGGGGAAAATGGCAAGCAACCCTCAAATTTTGAGGTTTCCCTAAATGTTCGAACAAACCCACATGCCTTCTGTTAACCTCAGGTGTTTCAGTTCCATCGTTTACAGCTTATTGAAGCAAGGCTTTTTGCAACCACTGCAGGAGGATTTTGGAGATGCAGGATGATGCATGCGTAGCACTTCCCCCCAAAGATAAAGTTCGCAAAAACCCAAACAAAGGTATATCATGTCCATCTTTTGAAGGTTGAGTATAATACCCCCATTCCATCCTCTGGTTTCTGATGCTTTTTCCCATAAAAAAGTGCTATTTTTGGTGAGATACCACCCATTTTTTAAACCCCCAAATCATTTCCAACGCGGCATCGGCCTCATCAGGCCTCACGTTGCCATAGCAACAGACCAGCAGTTCCAGGGCGAAGAAAGCGCAGAGCAAAGGCTCCATGGTCCAAAGGCTCTGGAAATCGAAACCAAAATGGCCCAAGTAGAAGAGGTAGATTCCTCAATGGATGCTGATTTTTATTGGGGATTCACGGTGATTCATGTGTTTTTTTTTCATGGTGATTTGGCCAAACATGGTCATTGATTCATATGGATTCATATGGATTAATGCTGATTTAACCTGATTTCACCATGAAAAAATGGTGATTTTTCCAGCATCATGGTGGTTGAACTCAGCAAACAAGGGATTCCTGCCATGGTGAATGGTGGATTTTTTGTTGATTTAAGCTATGAAAATGAGGAATTTTAACCAACTTCAGAAGGGTGACTCCCAAGCAGCAAAAGATGGGATTTGACCATCTAACATCATCTAACCAGCTTTCATCCTGGATTGGTTTTCTTAGGACAATCTTAACCGTTTTTACCCTGGTTTAAAAACCGTGGCACGGGGGTAGCCACCTCTTCTGAGATCCTGCAGGACTTGATGCTTCACCCCATGGCTGACCATCATGGCGAAGAGCCCCAATGGTTAATGTTGGTAGTTATTATATGGTTAATGATGGTTAATAATAATCTGGTTGGTGGTTTCAACCAACCCCTCTGAAAAATGATGGAGTTTTAGTAACACTTGGGATCTGTTAAAAATTCCAACTGAATGGAATTTTTATATAAAATTCACCAAAGCACCAACCAGTCATTGATCATCCACTTGGATTTCACCGAATTTTCCAAGGTTCCACTGAGGCAAAAACAGAAATTCCAAGAGTAGACATCAAAGGGCGCGGGCATCAGCAAGATGTAGACATGCATCGCCACCTGAGATCAGTCCAATGATCCAATGGATGGATAGATTTTGGCCTGAAAAATCCAATGGAAAATCACAAACATCCAACGGATGATGGGGGTGCCGAAAAATGAGGAAACCTGGTATTTTGTCGGTCCAAAATAGCCCCCACCATGAGCCCATGGCAATTCGCCACAACCACCGAGAGGCCAATAAAATGAGCCCAATCCACATGGCCGTGGTATTGGGAATCCTCAGATCATGATGCATCGCTTTTGAAAACGGCAATTGAGCGAAACTTTCAAAAACGCTACCCTCTGGTAAACTAACAGTTTGCTATTGAAAATGGCAATTTATAGTGCATTTACCCATTAAATATGGTGATTTTCCATAGTTATGTTAGTTTACCAGAGGGTAAATCAAAACACTCAAGAGTCAATGGACCATGATCAAAACATCCCTTTTCATCTGGGAAAAATGTGAACACAGATTTCACTCACCCTGAAATGTTGGGCCCACAATGGGGAGAATTCCACTGATCATCATCGCATCACATAGCGACATAGCATGCTGAAAAAACACATCTTCCAATCCTACCCACGTAGTACTTTCATCGCTAAACATTGAATCACTTGGGCCCAATCATCGTGAAATATGCTGGGACCACTTCTCCCGGAAAATTGCAAAATTCCATCGGCACCTTCACCGAGCTGCATCAATAGAACTGGCGCGACATACTCGGCAGCTGCAGCAGTATGGGCCAAGACCGCTGCAAAGGGCGTGGGCCGCATCCTGGACCATGGAACTCTCCGCCGAAACCGGAGATTTTCTGCTGTGGTTTCCTGAAATGTGACCCAATAGATCCAATAGCTGGATGGTTTATTTCATGGAAAATCCAACTAATAGCTGGATGATTTGGGGGTAGCACTATCTTCTCCATCGTTCTCCATCGATTTTTCCTATCCTTGTTGTGGATCACTATATGTTCCAACTGGTTACAAGTTACCCTCTGGTTATGTCAAAATAGCTATTGAAAATCACCATTTATAGTGGATTTACCCATTAAAAATGGTGATTTTCCATAGTTATGTTAGTTTACCAGAGGGTAATTGTTGAGGTAGCCCCACAAGCATCAGCAATCAGCCAGATGGCCATCTCCAAAGTGATCAACTGCTGGCTTTCCAGATGTCTACTGCAGCTTCTTTTTACAATACAAACAAATGTTGATCAAAAAACCATGGTATAGGACAACTGGACAACTATTGCTTTTTTGATCCTCTTCTCTCAATTAAATCTCCTTCTTGGCCGGTATTTCTTTTCTCCTCATCAGCATGCATTTCACTCTGAGACCCCGAAGTTCGAAATCTATCTGGCCATGGAATATCCACCATTTGGACCATTTGCACATGCTGAACCCTAAGTATAGCCAGAAATGTTCACCCGTGAACAACGCATTTGAAGATAGTTACCCAGGGTTTTCCCCTTTGTAAAAAGCATGCCTTATGATACAAGAACTTGACATAGATTTACTGTAATGGTTTAATAATGTTTAATAGATGCAATGGAAAATCTGTCATTTATAGATGACATCATATGTATATATATATATATATGTATAGATCTCATTTCCATTCATTTCCATTCATTTCCTGGGCTTTCCCCATGGAGTTTTCCCATCCACCAAGGAGCGTTTCGTCGGAGCGAATCAGCAGTCGCCGCAGCCAGTCATTTCCTCTGAGTAACCTGCGGAACAACGAAATCCTTGGGGAAATCACTGGTTTAACGTTTGTTAGATTTCTTAGTAGCTCTGAGCCAGGATATATATTTTTTCATTTACTGACCCACTGAATTGCATTTCGTAAATTTGATAAGACCTCTGCAAAACGGGGTAGAGCTACATGCAAATTATTATGTAATATATATAAAGATATATAATGTATTTTGTATATAATATATATATATAATATATATAATATATATATATATAATATTATATAATTATGATTCATCATAATACATCCGCTTACCAAGTGAATCTTCATCACTTTCTTCACTTTGTGTTCAGCGTGCCACTGGGAGCAGCCTTCATCATACCAGTAGCCACATGATCCCACATGACATGATATCAGATATAAACAGTACGAGTAATAGTACAGATATATGATATCAGATATATCCCACATAGCTACATGATATAGTTTTTTTTTTTTTTTTTATGCCGATGATATACCCTCTGGTAATGACTGTTACATAGCTATTGAACATGGCCCATTTACGAAATAGTTGATTTACATTGATTTACCGTTCTTAAAGATGGTGGATCTTTCCAATTCGCAAACGCCCTAATCGAAATAGTTGATTTACATTGATTTACCGTTCTTAAAGATGGTGGATCTTTCCAATTCGCAAACGCCCTAATCGAAATAGTTGATTTACATTGATTTACCGTTCTTAAAGATGGTGGATCTTTCCAGTTCGCAAACTGTAAAGATCTGTAAATTTTTTACCAGAGGGTAACAGGTTGGTCAACCTGAAGAAAAACTCACCGCGCCTTGATTGCAACATGAACGGGCCATTGACGTACTCGAACCATGGGCCGATTTTCCCAACTCCTGCGACAGCGACTGGATCTTTTTGTGCACAGCAATGGTGAAGATATTGGAAACAGACAGGATCGGATTTCTTAGGATATTTCCCAAAGAGAACAACATTCTCACATACCCTCTGGTAATTTAACATAGCTATTGAAAATGACCATTTATGTTGATTTTCCCATTAAAAATGGCGATTTTCCATAGCTATGTTAAATTACCAGAGGGTATTCTCACTAGAATTGAGCAGGCAAACCATCGGCGCTTTGCAGATTTTCCGAAAAGCCCCGCAGTGGCCTGAAAAAAACCATTGCAGGATCAACCCGAATTGCATTCCTCGGTGTTTTTTTGGAAAGGACAGCGGCATGGTGTGGACCATTCATTCCTGGGCACATATATTCTTGTTGAAAAAGAACCACCATGTTTCTGAGATTCCAAAGCCATCTAGGGTGTATTAATATTATCAATCTTTAGATGATCTGGGCAAATTATGTATAGTGATTCACAAACCTGAAAGAAATCATGATATATCAATAATTACCATCTGGTTATGACTAACATAGCCATGGAAAGATCCACCATTTTTAATAGGTAAACCATGGTAAACCATCTATTTCGATTAGGGCCATCAACAAACCATGGCTATGTTAGTCATAACCAGAGGCACATCATATAACGATCCCCACGAGTCCACCGTAGCACGCAGATCTTCCGTCAAGGTTCCAGCCATCCGCCCGCCATTCATGGGGAAGCAGGCAGAAATCAGCATGCTGCCATAAGCGTGGCCACTACCTACATGGAAAGATTCATGGAGCCGGCGGCAAAAGTGTGACATTTGTATACATTTGTCAGAATGTACCGAAAAAAAAAGAGAGTGTACTTTCTGGATATATCCCATTAATATCCCATGTAAGTTCTATGTGGCGATAAAGATCCATAAAGTATCCAGAGTTGATGTGCATGTGAATGTGAACGCGCACATCATTGAAAATACATATTAGCTTGGGGATGCTTGGGGACACGCAAACAGGCTTTCCGAATATATGGGCTATTTGAACAGAATCCTGCAGCCATGGCAGTTCAGATCTGGTGGGAACTATTGCGGCAGTGTCATCTGTATTCTTTTGTGGCCTCATATGCAAACATGGCATGTCAGCCCAGATATGCCAACCCCTTGATTCATGATGGTTGCTTTGTGAAACTTTTTCATCCCAACTAGTGACCTTTGATCAACAGCGTTTTGCAAGATAACTGAATCATTCTTTGGGAAAACATTTCGGGCAATTGAAGTGGGGCTATACCGCAAACATGGCAACTCTAATGGGGAAATGATGATTCAGCATGATTAACCATCAAATTAACCATGACTAACCATCAAAAGTCATCAAGTTGAGCATAATTAACTACAGTAGCATTTTCACTGTGTTTAACTATCAATTAAGCATATTTAAACATCGAATTAAGAATGCTTAAACATGATTACCCATCAACATTTTTCCAATGTTTTCCATCCGCTCTGCGCTGCCGAAGGACTGGCATAGAACTGGGTCATATCGAAACAGAAGAGGTAGACGTCACAGATGACCAGCAGCCGCAGCAGCGTCGTGTTGTACCATGGACCTGTGGAGAGATTCCTTCTGGGAACTCGAACATGCCAAAACGAGACTGCGAACATCTGCGAACCATGTCTGGATTGAGAGGCAAGAGGCATTTATTCAGTTTAAGAATTGTTATAATTATATATATATATTATGATGATACATGATATTATAATATATTCAGAATTATTTATATAGATACATGCAGATCATTCTTGCGAGTTGATACACAATAAGACAATTGACCTAAGATTGACATATTTCTTCAGCCGCTGGGCACAGGACCGTATACGCAAACCCATTGCGAGTTCACCAGGTTGCAGCCAACTGGTCGGGGTGTGGATATTATTGTGGTGGTGGGTACCTGTGGGTACTTAATGATATAATTTGATCCAGACCCACACCCTAATCTGGATAACAAGTCCAATCCAGCCAAAAAGACAGGTCCTCTGCGCACATTCCTAATGGAAACAAACACCAGACATGAAACTACGAAACATGTTCAGTCTTTGAAACCCAGAATCTGACCATCTCAATCAATCTGAATCAATCTATATAATGTCCTATATTGAAAAAACATATTCACAATCATCATTATCATCATTGGAGACCCTGTACTTCCCAGTCCCGGTTCATTCGTTTACGTCCAAGCTGCTGAACAAGAAACCCAAGCCACAGAGGAAGAAGATACCTGCTGGGCATCCCATGATGCCACTGGGCTTGGTAGCTCCGCTACATGGCTCCCAGCATGCTGGGAATACGGGGATGAGACAAAAATTGGGGCCATCAACCATGACTCGTGTTCCGTTCCCGTGGTAAATATACATGGCAGTGTGTCAAAACCTTGTACCCCTGGTGAACATCAAAATAGCTGGTAAATAGATGTTCATTCCCCTAAAAATGGTATTAAGAGGTATTGATCCATAGCCACATGTCAATGGGAATCATGATCGGTAAGATTGCTCATATATTTCAAGACACGGACCAGAGATTTTTGGGTGCCCTATTTTCACAACTGGATGGCTGGTGCAAATGACGCAAACTGTTTCTGGATTATTGGATTGGACGTTTCACCCAAAATGCCACAAAAAGCAACACAACATGGAGATGGCTCCAACTTTCGGTCGCAAACCACCCATTCGAATGGCACTTTTTGAGGATCTCGAAGCATCGGTTTTGAGCTGCCAACTTTCACCCATTTTGGCCAAGCTCCGGTGCTGCTTGGGCACAATGCACAGCATAGTCCACAGCATTTCGGGCGCGACCACCCAGAGATGGAAAAATCGAGTGCTTCAGAGTGCCCCTTGCGACTTGGAATCATACCCTCCACCCTTCCAACACACAGAAAAAACCGTGGTAAACAGCAGGGGATTTGAACACATCACACTGAGACCATAACTAGGGGGTGTTTTTCATATTATATAGATTAGTTTCCCAAACTAATGCTAACTAATTACCAGTAATAGTGAAGTTCTTGGTGAGGTCCTGAACATGTGCCCCATGTGCCCAGCATTTTAGAGTGGAGAGCCAAAGGCATGATTCCATTCCAAAAATGAATCTGTCAATGAGATGTACGCATGTGTAAACTACCCAAGTAGGGGATGAAAGTTGATGAACGCACCATTTGAAACCCAATCCACCATCGGCCAAACAAGTTTGTTGAATCCAATTCATTGTTGGCAAGCATCATGTGAACAGTTTCCCAAACACTGTTGGTTGATGGTTATTCGAGGTTCTATATATACTATATTTGGTTTCGAGGGAAGTATCATAATCCATCATGGGAATCCCTAAGAATCCCTATCAACTATTCAGAAGAACGATTTCACAATAGGTTTTGGAAAGTGCTCATGTATATATATATATATATATATATATGTATATTATCAGTATATATATATATATACTACAGTATATGGAACTACAATTTTTGTGGCCGCATCCCCAGTGCTTTCTCAAAACCCAGACCTCGAAAAGCGGTAGCGAAACTTGTTCGGAAAAGCTTGGCCCATCAGTGGCCCTTGCCGGCAACCTCGGAATGGGGGTTTCTTCAAATGGGGGTACCCAATAGCTGGATTCAGCTGGATGGTTTATGATGGAAAATCCTGTTAAATCCCGTAAAAATGGATGATTTGTGGATACTAGTACAGGAAAAACCCAAATGTCATGTTTTTCACCCATCAAACATCACTGTTTCTTCCTTCAAAGCGATGGGAGACCTGCAGGTCTGATGGAGCCCTTTCTCCGGTAGCATCACACATTGAAATGTTCCAGGTTCCAGTTGCCTGAACAAAAATATTTGTCATTGGGGACCATCCCAAATATGGTTGAACCCTTCCAGTAATCCCCAAAAAGAGCGAAAAGTGCTTCCAGAATGGGATAAATGGAAAACAAACATGTAATTACCTCATATTTTCAGGTTTTCAACATCTCAACCACCATTTTCCAACTGTTCTATCTTCATAGTCTGGGAGGCCAAGCCCACCTTCCACCAGTCAGGAAACCACATGCTTCAGCCAGGTGTTGCCACACCAAGAGTTTCACAAACAGAAGCACACCGTAGTCTTCCTGGATGGGGACTTCATCATGAACCAATGGTGGATTTCTGTCATGATTTTATCATCAAAAAAGGTTTTGCCAACAAGATCCAACAAACATATTTTACATGGATGCCTGGATCTTTGAATTCTCTCAATATGAGGGATCTGCCTCCACTTTACATGAAACATGGGGAACATGATGACAAGCCATGACATGTTCATGGATTTATCACCATTTTTTTGATTTTTTTTTGAGAAAAAGAGGACTGACTAGACCAAAAACCTACCAGCCAGGGCCAACCATCGTCCAAATGGGAGGATCCTCCTTGATAGACACTTACCATTGGATTGGAGACATCTCGAATTTTTCGGGGTGAGCATTCACCAACACACATTTCACCAGGAAAACAAACAACGAAACACCACCCAAACCATCTGATTCTTCAAGATTTCAAACTCAGGGACCACTGTTTTTCTCAGACATGGGCTGTCCTTGGAGCCAGATGCTGGGATCAAAAGCATCAGCAAAGTGTAGCACCTCAATGGACCAGGAAAGTATCCGAGAAAACATTGCTACTGTTAGACTGTTAGGCCTTTCTTGATACACTTGCTACATCCTGTTGCTAGATCAGGATTGGCAAAAAAAAACATCCACTTTCCAGAAACCAAGTCCAACCTCTTCAGCTCGAAATCTAATCAAATCAAATCAAATCTATCTGGATTCAATTAAAAAATCACCAACCTGACACAATATGGATGTTTCAGAAGATGCCCACCAAACATCTGGGCAAATTCGAATAACCGCAACCCGGTCATAGTAACCGGTCAATGGTGCGCTTGTACATATCCCGATGATTCGGTAGCCATGGATTCGGGCGGTTTGCCAACCCTTTTAGTTTAGTAGTGGCAATAAGCATAGCAATGAGTAAGTAGTAACAATAACATATTATAATCATAACATATCATAACAATAGTAATCATACTATAGTTGCTAGTGACTGCTAGTGCCAATAATAACAGTCATCATAACAATAGTAATAACATGTAATAACAATCATCATATGGGAGACACTGGGTGGGAAAACCTAAGTTGAATTCGCCCATCCAGAGTTGTAAAAAACACCGAGGGGCGCATAGTTGGTGAACATCATGCCGAAATGGAACCTCATCAAAATCGCCGGCCGCGTCATGCCGTTTCGGGCAATCCATTGTGCGAAGTGATTCAAGCGATGTCCCACGGACATGAGCTGGAACTTCTCCTGCTGTTGCTGGTGGTTCTTTTGATATACATTGATATAGCCTCTGGTAAACTAACATAGCTATTGAACATTGCCATAGAAACAGTGGATTTACCCATTAAAAATGGTGATTTTCCATAGTTACGTTAGTTCCCCAGAGGGTACCCAAACATTATTGCAGGGTTGCCTTTGGGGGGTTTTAATTCTCCATTTTTCCTGGGATGCTTCCCTCCATAATGCATCGTTCAAAGGAAGGTGAGGTCGGTATACTGAGAATCGTTTCCAAATGTAGAAACTAGTATATATATATATAATATATATATAAACCTACATGGCTAGTTCCGGGATTTCTCAATCATTATTTTCCCATACTTCCCCATGTCTTTCCCAGCTATAGATCTCCATGGTCCATTTTGGGTGATGTCCCGTACATAATATATGCAATCATTTTGCGATGGCAGTGGGATTTGCCATAATTTGCCCAGTTAGAACCGGTTGATGTTCCACAATGGCTGATGAAATAAGGAACACTATAGAACAATCATGGGGGAATCAGGCAAATATACCCTCAGGTGGGTAACATAGCTATGGAAAATGTCACACGTATAGATTCATAGCATAGATGATTTACCTATGAACATAGGGTACTTTCATGCAATTTCCATGTTTTCCAATGCTATCTTAAAGACCAGAGGGTAACTGTAACACCAAACAGTGCTCCTTTGGCAAATTGAAGTAATCTCCATTCCAATCCACTGCTGCCATAGCTTTCCAGGAGCGGAAATGCGAGCTGGATGGCAACGTCTAGATGTGTTGCCTCCCAGATCTTCTTTGCGTATTCTTCATTTCTTTAGATCAAGGTTCAACATTAGATCTGGTTGATGGTTTCAACATGTTTCAACCTTGCTGAAAGGATATATATATGTCCCCTTTTTTGGGGTGAACATTTGATGCATTGCTGCATGTTTGACAGCAACAGAAGATTCCTTCGGCATCTCCAGCCTCTCCAAAGATTTCAACAGGTCATGACACATGGAAATGCCCACAGGATCCATGAAGAACTCTGCATGGCAGCATCGAAGCGAGCCAATGGCTTCCGGCGTCCTGTGGCTTCAATACATCTGCAGTCCATGCTTTGGTTGATCTATATAATGCAATCTTTACTTGGGTCTAACCATATATCATATATCCATGTAAATCCCCATTTTACTAGTCATATCCACATGTCCCAGCATGGCTCCACATCTTTGCTTGTGAACAATCCCACTCTTACCCGCTGGTAAATTAACGTAGACCCTGGCAGTCATCGGGCTTGGAAGACTAGTTTCCATTCAACATGGGTGATTTTCAGGGTCCAACTGTTTATTTACCATAAATTATCTGAATCAGGGTATTCCCATTACAAAATTTACCATTACAAAATTGGTGATTTCTGGTCCAACTGATTATTTACCATAGGGTACTTGGTGGCTCATCTCACTTAGTAAATGGGTTATAACCCCAGTTATAAATGGATTAACCAAAAATTTTCCCCAGAAATTCTCTCCAAACCTACGCAAAATTTGGCCCATATGAATCTCCCAAGCTCCAAGCCATCAGAAGCAAGCCCTTCTCCATGAAGGTTCGCACCACTCCGATACGCACCTGGGGAGCGCGAATCCGCAACAAGGGGAGAACAACTCCGATAACAGCGAAGTTGAGGCAGATCTGTTGGGATTTATGGAGGTTATAACAGGTTATAACAGGTTATAACAGATTATAACTATAGATAACTATAGTATCTAGAATTGATGGGTTTCGAATGTGTATAAAGCAACTTTATAACTGGACACCACCATGAAATTGATACACATGGAGATCTACGAAGGATAGAATGGGGGATATACGTGGGATAGATTTTTTTTTTTAAATAATCCTTTAGATATTGGTCCTGGTATGTGTATATAATTATATTATACATATGATATGTATACACACTATCAAAGAATATCAAGCATATGATGTATCTGGGTTTGATCAACATAGGGGATAAAACCAACCATTTGATGGTGATATTTTGTGGTATGTAACAAATGGATATTGGTAGGGTACAACCAACCATCTAGTGGCTTAGCCAAAACTGAGGATGTTCCTTTACATTCCAAATTGGCCATTTGAATACAGAAAGTGAGGATCAACCGTCAAATTTGGGGGTACCCTATTTTCAGACGAACCTAAATATGGCCACGGGTTCTATCTCAGATGTCAGGGACAACTCATGTGTCACTTAAAAATCGTTGACGATCCAGTAGCCGAGGACGGCATACCACATCTGAAATGCTACGGCAATCAACGGAAGCGGTAACGATTTTAAAACCCATGATGTCTGGTTTATCAGATCATTGGCATTGGGAACTTTGTGTAAAACCAACTTTAGTTGGTTCATACTTCAACTTGATATTCTTATGACTCAAACTCATGGGGAAACAAAGGGGTTGATGCACTCCTTTCGTTACGCTTCTGGGCTACGGCTCAAAGAACTCTTCAACCCATGGTTCAATCGCGTCTTGCGGCTGGACATTTCTTGTTTATCCTTGCTTATGGCGCAAAAAAGAAACTGAAGATTGGTGACCACATTTTCACCCATTTTTATCTCCCAATAGATAATCATTTATATAGGATTTGTTGGTTACATCCATCAGTGTTTCTTGTTGGTTCCAATGCTGAAATCCTCATGGGAATCCCGATGCATTTGAAGGTGAAATGCCCAAGTTTTACCGACCCATTTTTTCACGGTTTCGGGAATCTCCAAGTAAGCAGTGTTCGAACATAGATTATGATAATACCCACTATATAATATATAATATATATAAAAATATATTCACATATTCAGTAGTATAATCCCCGAACTAATCATCAATCAACAGATGGTTTGAACATTGCTCAAATGATAATCCCGGTATATCCCAGTGATATCCCAAGTATATCCCTCTGATACCCCATTAAATCCCATGAAATCCCTGTTGATGATTCAGGGTAAATTATATATAGTAATTCACTAACCTGACAAGTTTGGCTATTTTGGTTATTTTGGGATAGTTACATCCCCAATACCTTCTGGTAAACATACAAAAAACTATGGAAAATCATCATTTTTGATGGGTAAATCAACTATACATGGCCATTTTCAACCATCATAGTTTCGCTCGCCTCATCTGAGGCAATCTGCGCCGCAATCTGTCCGCTACCGAAGCTCATCACAATGGCAGCAGGGGCCATATCTCCCTGGCGGAAAAACAACGGTTTTAAAACACGTCTTTGATGTGTGTCTGATGTTGTAATATGTATGTATGTCAATGTATGTATGTATGTATGTATGGATGGATGGATGGATGCATGCATCATGTTATGGTAATATGTATCATGCTTATAATTATATAATGTTTATTAATGTTGTATCTTAATGTTGTATTTTAATGTTGTAATATGTATCCTGTTGTAGTTAATTAATCTTGTATAATTCATGTTATATTTTTTCTCCGAGGCTTTGATGTGTTGTATGATGTTTTAATGGCTCAACCCCCCACCAAAAAGTTCTCAGCCATGAGTTGAAACATCTCTAAAGCCACTGTAGCAGGCCTGAGGGTGAAGGAAAATCTCCGGTTGTTTACGCGGATTTTTCTTGTAGAATTGGAACGGATTGGAACATTATATATATATACACATACATGTCTGCATCAGGGGATACATGGGAATACTGCAGTCATTGCTTTCTCCTTAAAGAGGATGCACCATTTGATCTTCTTGAATACCCATTTTATGAGCTGAAGAAAACAATCTGATAGAGACACCAAGGAGCAGATTTGCGCGATCTTGGGGGGTTGTGGGTCAACATTTGTCCTAGCACCATTTTGCGCAAATGGGGCCCGCGGACAATTGCCTGCTTGAGATTGGGTGAGTTGGTGTTATTGGTCACTTTGAAGAGTGGCAAGTTGAAGGACTTGGAGTGCTCAGGGCCTGCAGCACATGGGAGCCAGATTTTGGACCAATCGCAACATGAGAACACTTATGGTTCAACTCCTATGGTTGAAGGCTGACATCTTTCCGGCGAACACTTTTTTGGTGCCACAATCTGACATGGTGAACAAGGCCCTTGGGCCACCCTGCCTGTGAAGCACTTTCCCCATGACTTTGGACACTGTTTGCACGCGCAATCCTTTACGATGCAGCTGTTGCTACCTGGCAGCGACTGGGGCAATCCTCTGCGCCCAAGCATCCAAGCCATGAGTTGAAACCATCTGAACTTTGGTGGATTCCCGTAAGTTGAAGGGACCCATCTAAACTGTAGAGTATGAGAATATACCATAGATTAATGATTATAAAATATTATAAATTCATCTCCGCCATAGCAATCCTTCGCCAAGCGTAGCCACTGAAAACCACAAGTGGGTCCCCCGCAATCTGCCTGTGTCCGCGACCAAACTGAAGGTTTGTGCTGGATTGCCGATTGCCACCTGCGTCACCAAATCTGCTTGTGACTGGGACAACAAATCAGGTTTTGTAAAGTCAACAACTACATTTGT